TGTTGTATAAAGCTACATAATCACAGGAACTTGTTGTCATGTGCAAGGAAAGATAATTTTAGCCCCTAAGTGTCCTCATTAAACTGCACTGTTGATGCAAGCTGCAATTAAATCGTTGTTTGGTCAACAAGACACCAATCTGCAACAGGATTAACAAGGATTTAGAAACATTCTTCTCTTCCACATCCATTTCTTTGTCTTGTCTAATTTTAAATCCAATAATTTTGCACCACATTGGGTTTAATTAACTGTAAAGCAAACAAAAGACATGTTTTATTGTACTGTGCGATTTTAAAAATGAAACAAACTATTTAATCAGCATTCTTGTGGTTAATTTGCTCTATTTAAAGTTATAACAAGAGCAAAACACAAACAGTTTGGTATCTTAACACTGGCTCACAGTGTTTTTAGATTCATCGTCTCACTTGTAACAAGCCAGTACATTTAGCACATTGTTGCTCCTAATAATAACTTCATTATTGATTGATTTGCTAGTTAAACAGCAGTGATAAGTGGCTTGTTTCGCCCACTCTGGTTTCTGGACGGTTTCCGGGTTATAAATTAAGTTTAAAATAAATAATTTATAAGCTAGTGCCGCCCAATTTAGGGACCTGACTCACACCAAGTGTCTTAACAGATGATTACAGGTTAGTATTAAATGACTAAAAGCTAAATTCTTTAGAGAAATGTATCTAAAGCTACAATTTTACCTGATTAAAAGTAAAAGTAAGTTTCTCATGGACCTCGTTATGGAGGTTGTGGGAACAGCTGCATTAGGTTCCTTTAATTAATGTTTTCATGGTCTTCTGTCAGTGTCTGTATTGCTAATCCAGGCAGTATGGAAAGGTGTTGATGTGTTGTGTATTAGTATAGCTGTCACTATTAATTAACCATACTCACTTATTTTACAAAGCCAAAGTCGAGACTCTGAATAAAACCAATAATGTGACATCTTTGTGTACTATAAATTTTACATTTCGGAACATTTAACCAAATGGGGAATCAAGGAACTCATTAAAATCCCAATAATATCCATGCTCATGATAAGTGGATGTAAACCTCTGATTACAGCATTGCTCTTATTTTTTTATTCAGGTTTTTAAATCTTAACGTTATACTTAAGTTGTCAGAGATTAATAAAAAGCTGTCAGATAATACAAATATACAGCGTCCCTAAAAGAACATGAGGTGTGGCGTGAAAGTGAAATTCCTTTTTTATTCAGACATTGAGACACAAGTAAAACTTTAAATTCACATTAATTATTTCTTTATTTTGCATAATAAGCAGTTAAAGTCAGTCTATTCTAATGAAAGCTAAAATGTGCACAGAAATTTACCATATACGTACAGAGATGTGGTTATTCTTTTTACAAAACCAGCTATGTAAGTCAGGCTATAAAGATACATATATTTCTGAATACAAAAAAATAGGTTTTCGTGTAAATTTTGCAGATAAAATGTTAATAATTGCGTTTAACGTCCAAAGTTTGAAGCGGTGAAGTGAATAATTTCACTTCCCTGTAATTTGAGAGCACTCTAGTCTGTTTATGTACCTGTCACTACCGCATGTGGACTTTACTTTGAAAATTGCAGCTCGGAACGTTTGATGTGACTTTAATTTTAAATTGAAGCCAGCACAAAAAAGAAAAAAAGAAGAAAAAAAAGCTGACGCGTGGATTTCATCTTCACTCCCACCCGGACGAGTGTGAAAATTAATGTTTCATTAAAATATTAACCAGGTCGTTCACTTTATTTTGAAATCTCCTGCACAAGATCTCATTTCCTGCTGTTCAGCTCAGGTTGTTCGGGCAAACCTGGTCACGTGGTAGAAAGTGGCAACAGGACGGGATCATTTATCAAAGTTTAAGGTTATATGTGTCACTTTGTCCTCAGGGAGATTCCCCTTCCTCCTCCTCCTCCTCCTCTTTACCTGCAGGATAAGTCAACACCTTCAGTCGGAGGGAGGATGTCCAACCTGCCGGATATTCCTGCTCCGCGTAAATTCCACTGGATCCAAGAAGGAAGCGAGGACACGTTTAGCG